TCAAACATGAATAGTTAAAAAAAAAAAAAAGAGTTCACCAGTGCATGCATCCTGATGAAAGAGTGTCTCTCCAGTTTAGCTAACAATTCTATATAACAGTACAGAAGTTGAGGAATGTACCATGTAACACCTATAGAATTAGTAGTCCTAAAGAGCAAATAAATTGAGCCACATGAAAAAAAATGTTATGAAAATGAAGTGAGCTCATATAATAAGTACTGAGCGGTATGACTGACCTTCAAGAAGCATTCAATCAGGTACACATCAGTCCACATGAGGCGCAGTATTTCTGTGTCTCCTTCATGCAGTTTCTTCACTTCCTCGCTCTCTCTTTGTCCTAGCCAATAAGCAAATCATCTTGCTTGTAAGGAGGCAAAAATGTCAGGATTCATGTTAGCAGCGAAATCATTTGTTTTTCACGGCAATCCCTTATGCCTCTAAAATGGTGAAAGAATTGACCCTCGTTGATGACGGAATTCTACTCCAACTGCCACCCACCCACCCGTGCTTTAGAACTGTGTACTGAGGTTAAAGTCCACACTGATTCGAATTGTAAAACTGTTTTACCCTTCATAGGACCTTGCACAGAATAAATGCTAAGTACTTGATTGATCAACAGATTCTTTACTCTTCCCAAGCTGAGTATCCATAATCAAATACGCTAGTGCAGATTTAGTATACTCTGGCAGAGGAAGACAATATCCAAAACAAATACAGTGTTGTTAGCATTTTAAAAAATCAATGTTTTAGACCTAAATAAAAGGAAGTTCTTGATATTTGTGGGCTTTCTTTAACAGAGACATAACTGCTCCGACAGGGTCACCTGAGTATTTGTGGTGCTCTTAGTTGATAAATGCAGTCCTAGTCCAGCCCAAGTGTACTGTGTGCACAAGATGTTGTAAGCGCACAACAGACAAAATGAGGAAGGCCAATTTGTTTTTAGTGAAAACAAAACAAAACAAAACCAAAAATAGAAACAACTAAAAAAAAATCAAAACTAAGATAGGGTTTTATAAAGTGGAACCAGATAAGTCTTAACAAAGACCTTAGAACATCCAGGGTCTCAATTTTAGAAAAAAAAAAAAAAGTAACTACTTACTGAGGCTGAACCAAGTGAGTGGAGACATATGGAATAAACTTTTAAGCAAGGTCCCCAAATCAAATAATGTAAATGAGTTTCAAGAGACAGCCGTACATTTTAACAAAGAAACTTGAGATCAAAACATATATCAATAAAGCTAATATACAGAGTGGTGATAACCAGATAAGAGCAGCTCTTGGGGCCAGTCATCCATTCATGCCGAGGCATTGCTCTCTCTCATGGCTTACTGTGGTTTGAAAGTGCCTTCAAACACATAAATGAGTTCCTCAGGCTTAGTCAGCTCTTTGTGCTACATGAAGCTTCTGATTTTGATTAGGAGTGTTCATGCATCCAGGCACACAATGCTGTCATTCTTGGGAAATGATACCTAAGACTAAGCAGTGAGTGGAGCAGACATCCCATTCAGCCCTGGCTCCTGGAACCACATTCAGGAAGTCAGACAGTCTGGCGGGACTGTGACCTGGAAGTACAGGCATGTGATCGAGTCTCTTAAGATTCTGACCATGGTGACAGTATGGCAAAAATGGGGGGAGGGGACAATTTCAGGATGATTGTCTACCCCTAAAGCCATCGTATTCATAACATCTGCCCAATCGCATATTTGTCACATAAATAAGAGGCTGTTGTTCCCAGTGTTTGCCCTCAAGTTATAAGTCAGCTGCTGACCTCATAATCTGCACAGCTGTGGCATCCCAATATGTTGTCATGAAACAGATTGTGATGTCTTAATTGATCACTTTCCGAGGTTACAATTGTCAAGTGAGACCAATGTGCTGATTCTTATTAGTTAAATTAAGCCTTGTTACAGCAGAACCAGCTAATTCACTCTAATGACTGGGAAAGCCAACACAAATTGCTGCATTTTATAGATTAGAACACACCCCAAATATTTTTCTTTATTTATTTTCGATTTTTTTAACTTGTGAGGGCTATCCTCTCAAAATGCTTGAATTATACAATGAGACAGTTTCTTGGCAGAGTAAATGGAATGTAACCTACCATAGCATATGCATCTTTGATGGTAAACTGGAGTGTGCCATATCACAGTTTTAATCAGGCTCTGGTTTGCATGACTCTGAGTTTGCAGGACTTGACTAGGTGCAACGGTGGAGGAAAATTGTCCACTGAAAACACTGTGTTTTACTTTATATCCTAAAATATATGAACCCTAAATGGATGATGAAAGGTCTCAGATCAATGCCTGACTTCTACAGGCGTCCTCGTGTGCCTCCAGTGTGGTCCCTGGTAAAGCCTTCACTATGCTCCCAACCTAAAATACCAGATTTCCAGGTGGCCTAATATACTCACATACCTTGCATGGGCCTACTCTAACGACCTATTCTGCTTTGCTTGGATAAGAATCCTTACTGTGGCATGGGGTTTGGACAGCCCTTTCACTAGCAGAGGTTTAAAGCACCTCCTAAATAGACATTTATGGATTCTTCAAGTCAACGTATTAATGCAGTTCTTAATTTTGACATGCCAAATACTTTGATCTGTCTACCATATTTTATAGAAGCATAATTAAACATAAAGGAATCTAAATTAATGTAATAACTATTATCCCAAACATAGCTGGATGCACAAATATGTTCATCAGAGAACTATTTTAGAATAGAAAAAAAACACAGAATATAATGGCTAAGTGCCCAGCAGTAGGTGAATAGGTACATTATGGTAAATCCATATAATGGAATATAGAGCAGGCATTAAGATTATCTCTAAGGAAAATTTCATGACATGGAAAAGATTAAGGATATGAAATTAATTGAAAAACCAATGCTGCTAAATTGAATATATGAAACTTTTCAACTTGTCTAAAATAATATGTACAGAAAAGAGAAAAATGATATGATAAATAATATGTTATAAATGTTTATAGTGATTATTGATAGGAATATGGGTCTATTATTTTATCTATTTTTAATTTTCAATTTTACTACAATGTGCTCTTATTCCTTTAATAAGTTTTTTTTTAAGCAGTTTAATTTTGTTCTGGGCTGGTGTCTGGGCTCACTTGGTTAATCTTCCGCCTGTGGCACTGGCATCCCATATGGGTGCCGGGTTCTAGTCCCTGCTGCCCCTCTTTCAGTCCAGCTCTCTGCTGTGGCCTGGGAAGGCAGTGGAGAATGGCCCAAGTGCTTGGGCCCTGCACCCCATGGGAGACCAGGAGGAAGCACCTGGCTCCTGGCTTCCCATCAGTGTGGTTCCGGCCGTAGCGGCCATTTGGGGGGTGAACCAACAGAAGGAAGAACTTTCTCTCTGTCTCTCTCTCTTACTGTCTATCTGTCAAATTAAAAAAAAATTAATTTTGTTGTAATATTCGAGGCAGTGTCTGTGTTCAAGGCATCTCAAATTAAACTGGTCTAAAAGTAAGCTTCCAATCTTTCTCCCTTGATCCTACTCTTTCTGAAGAGTTCCTCATACCTTCTCAGTTAAAGGAAACTCCAGTCTTCCTTTTGCATAGGCTAAAAGTCTGAAGTTATCCTTGACTCCTGTCTTTCTCTCACATCTCAACTTACCTATGGAGATTGCCATATTGCTGATCTTCTTTTGGACTGCTTTTCTCTTTCATCCAAATCAACAATTCTAAGTAAGCTGGAAAAATATGTTTTTCCTAACACTAAGTTCAGTGCTGTGACTTCTAATATGTTATTTTAATTCAATTGCTTTCATTTTCTAAAGTAACCAATTGAGCTCCAAGTGTATTCCAGGGACTCTAGGGGGTGGGACTGAAATGAAGCAGACATTGTTCTTACTGAGTTTACTATCTAGAGGACAGACATAATTAAACCATAAATTAAAGTGCAACACAATGAGTAAAATAAGGGCAGTACCCAGCATGTGCGGAGCTGCTCACCAATAAACAAGAGCTGCTCACCAATAAACAAAATAAAAATTCAGGAGCAAACGTCATGTACAAAATGTGAAATCTCACCGAAAGAAGATGAGAAAGATACATGTCAACAAAGCATATTGCTTCTTTATCACTGTTTTCAAAAAATAGCATAGCTTCTTCATGTGGGAGAGAAGTAGCAAAGGTATTTATGTGCTTATTTTTAGGATATAGTAGAGCAAGAAATAATGAAAAAAGCAGTGCACTGTAAGTTAGAAGATCTAGAGCTGAATCTCCCAGCACTGCTCTATCAACTTCAAATCCTAAAGGTTGATGCTTAACCTCTATTAGTGTTGCCTCCGTGATTACATGAAAAGTGAGGGAGTTGGACTAGCTCTGAAGACTGTAGACATGCCTTCTCTGAGCTTTTCCAACAGGCTTTTCCTTATTTATCTAGAATAAACATTAGCACAAAAGCCAGTTAACACAGTGACTTGAAGAAATTTAAGTTTCTATAGTATTTTGCCAGCCTCGGACTTGTGTTAAATCACTGTGGTTTCTAAAGATCTTTTTTAGAACATCATCATTTGCTGAAATTTTCATATTTTTATCAATTGCTACATAACCATGTGTATGTATAAGTAAAATATGGAATTAATGTCTGGATATGTTTCTTTGGCATTTCCTTTATAACCACCAACCTTATTATAGAGATCAACTATTTCCATGTTTCCTTATTTCATTTGAAATTACAGTTCTGAATTAAAAGTAATTCATCATTTAGAGTGGGAAACAAATCACTATTTCTCCATTTGTTTTTAAACCAACACATGGGGATTTTAGAAATTAAAATTATGTTTTAACAGTATGTATTTACTCTTTTAACGGAAGCATGCTCCTAACTTCATAGCTTATAGCAGAGACTGTAGGAGAAAATATATATGTGTGTCACATTTTCCATATTCAGCAATTGTGCAATATCTCAACTATTTCTATTCCCAAAGGAACTTACTTGACTATGTGGAATTTACTACCTGCCTTCTCTCTCTTTTTGTTTTTCAGCCTTTGCAACTGGACTGTGACCTTTGTGCCATAGTGTCAAACTCAGGTCAGATGGTTGGCCAGAAGGTTGGAAATGAGATAGATCAGTCTTCCTGCATTTGGAGAATGAACAATGCCCCCACCAAGGGTTATGAAGAAGACGTTGGCCGCATGACAATGATTCGAGTTGTGTCCCATACCAGTGTTCCTCTTTTGTTAAAAAACCCTGACTATTTTTTCAAGGAAGCCAACACTACTATTTATGTTATTTGGGGCCCTTTCCGCAATATGAGGAAAGATGGCAATGGCATCGTTTACAACATGTTGAAAAAGACGGTTGATGTCTATCCAAATGCCCAAATTTATGTGACCACAGAGAAACGCATGAGTTACTGTGATGGAGTCTTTAAGAAGGAGACTGGGAGAGACAGGTGAGTCCTGGCTGAAGCAGTCACACGGTCTTTAATTGCTAAGTCTTTGCGGAGTACTTTTGCCAGCTATCAAATGAACAGAGTTATTTTTTAAATTGATTGTTATGTTTTTGACTATTATGATTACTTAATGAGCCAGCAGCTAGATCCCATTTATTCCACCTACGCTACCTTCTGTTCTCTCCATTTTGATTGGTTCGAGGCTCCAAGAAACACTGCATACTTCCCCCAAGATATCTTTAGATTTTTTTCTTACTTAGCTCAGTTTGTTGATGACTAAGTTGAATTTCAACTGAAAGAAGTCTACACATTTTGGTTTCAAAGCATAGAGATGTTAAGGAACTTCAGGATTATGTATTGACCTAAACTCCATTGGAGGCTGTTTCAGAATTTTACCTGAGAACACAAACACAACAGATTATTGATTATCTAATAAGATTGCACAGCTTTCTGAATGTAAATAGACCCTGTGATCCTGAACACCACAACTTGGTATCTAATATGTTAAGCAGAATCACATATTGAAATTATGCATTACTTCAAATCATTAACAGTTGGATTCTTGAAGAGAAATTATGTATATGTACATTCCACTCAATTATCCAAAAACCAATTTGCATTTTTAATACATCCATTTTTTTCTGCAGTGTTCAGTAATCACTCCTCCCGCTTCCTCTGCTTGAGGCTTGGGAGCTTCATTCTTCCCCTCCGCCTTCTTTCTCCTTGAAAGAAGCGCCCTTTCATCTCCCACAGAACACTATTGCCTGCCACTTGCATTTCCCCTTTAAAAGGATTGCCAGAATAAGGCAGAAAGTCAGAATTATAAATCAGCCGATCTTGGTTCATATTTTTACTTTATTAAAGAATTGCTGAAGGAAGACATAGCAACCAGTTGCTAAAGGCTTAAATTATCTGTGAATTTTGCTTATTTGCACAAAAGCATGGATACATTGAACATCCACTATAATTCCAATATTACATTCTGATTTTCTCCAAATGGTTATTGTTAACTGTTTGACATGGATAGGGGGAGTCTTCTTGGAAAACGCATTTTATGAAAAACCTATGTTCTTTTGTACCAAAATAAGCTTAGATTTTTGTTACATTTTTCCAAAAATGTTTTTGAAGGCCCCATGTATTATCATATCTAAAGTTTTAATTATACTGGGGTATGTGCATGAGGAGGAGCAGTTTCTGTTATCACTGGATGTAATTTGAATTCTAATAATTATTTTAAAATACTAGGTGGACCAACTTTTCTCTTGAGTATGTAGATTGATTTGAGTTTCCCATTATCGATTTCTGAGCACCAAAACAGCACAACTTCACATGCAATGCATGACAGAAATAGTCATAAAACTGTTCCTTTTCACTGCTGGAATTAGCAAGAAGAATCCCAAAGTTTAGATTTAAATCATTGTAGCATAAGCAGTCAAAAGAAATGGTGGAAAAAAGGAGTAGGTATGGTACTTCAAAGAAATGTACTCATATGTAGATGCATTCTATCTAAAGATGATCTTTCTCAAAAGGCTTTGGAAATTTCTGGTTTGTTTTTAACCCAGGGAAATGCAATTCATTCAATATATATTTTGTATTAGTTTGATTTAGCCCTCATAGTATCCCATAGTCACAACTATAAGCTCTGAAGCCATTTCCAGGTATCAGAAAATAATTTGGTCCATCTTTTACTGCTTTCCAATTAGTGGGGCAGTGGATTGAAAGTAACTCGAATCTACACTCATATGAGATGTAGTTGTTGCAGGCAGTGGCCCAAATGTTGTGTCAGCCCTGAGATTTCTTTTTTTTTTTTTTTTAATTAACAGTGGTGGTACATATTTATGGGGTACAATGGAACATTTTTAAAGATTATTTATTTAGTAAGAAGGCAGAGCAACAGAGAAATGGGGAGAGACAGCGAGAGAGTTCTTCCCATCCGTTGGGTTACTCCTCAAATGTCCACAACAGCCATGTATGTGGGCCAAGTTGAAGCCTTGAGCCAGGAACTTCATCCTGGGCTCTCCCGTGGGTAACAGGGCCCCTTCCGCTGCCTTTTCAGTCACATTAGCTGGGACTGGGTTGGAAGCAAATGACACAGGACTTGAACTGGCACTCAGACATGGGATGCCAGCCTTGCAAGCAGACACTTTAACTGGCTGTGCAATAATACATACATATAATGTTTACTGATCAAAGTAGACTTTTATTGTATAAGGATTCCTCCCCATGGTGGTTTGACAATACTGGATTTCAAACCAGATTTTTAAAAAAAACTTTTCATAAAGGAAAATATTGAACTTATAAAGTAGAAACTGTAGTTGTGTAATGAATCTCTGTATAGGCAACACTCAGCTTGTTTATTTACTAACTTATGGTCAATCTTATTTCTTCTATATTTCTATGTACTTGCTTCTTCCTCATGAATTATTTTGAAGGAAATCTCAGACACCATATAATTTCATTCATAAATATTTCAGTGTATGTCTCTAAAAGATAGATTCTTAAGTATCATGCCATTGTCCTATATAAAATCAACACAACTTTAATATCATGATATAGTTAATCAGTTTGCAAACATCTCCAGTTGTCTCATTAATATCTATAAATATGCCATTTATATACTATATTTATTTATATTAATTATATATTATATAGTAATTGCATATAAAATACAGTAATATATTTTTAGTAGTTAGTTTGAAACAGGGTTAGCATAAAGGGGATTAATGTGTTTCTTCTGTTTCTGATAACCTACATAGCTGCTCATCCCTTTTTCCCTCCTTCCTTCCTTCTTTCTCTCCTTCCCCTGCTCCCTCCCTTCATCTCTCTGTTGTTGAAGACACCTAGGCATTTGTCTTATAGAGTTTTTCCACCAATCTAGATTTGCTAATTGCACCCCCATGGTATTTGGTATTTTTTCTATGTTGATATTCCTGTTGCTCAATTGGATTCAGGTCCATTTTTTTTTATTTCTTCTTTTCTTTTTTTTTCCTCTTTTTTTTTTGCTAAAACCATTAGGTCATGCTTCTATCAGGGTGAAATAATGTCTAGTTTTCTCTCTTTTTATGTCAAGAGATATTAATGATCATTGTCTAGATGCAATCATTTGTTGGGATTGCAAAATGGAGATATTCTGCCTTTTTTTTTTTTTTTTTTTTGCCTGTTAACTGATACACTTTATAAAGTAAAATATGTGCTCACTGAGGCAGACATTGTTGTACAGCAGGTTAAGCTGCAGCTTAGGATTCCTGCTTAACATATCTGAGTCCCTGGGATCAAGTCTCCATCTGTGCCTCTGCTCCTCATCCAGCATTTTGCTAATGCACCTGGGAAGGCAGCAGATGATGGCTCATGTACTGAATCCCTGCCTGCCCAAATGAGAGACCCAGACAGAGTTACTGTCTCTTGGTTTCAGCCTTGCCCAGCCCCAACTGTTTGAGGGATTAGAGGAGTTAACCGGTCAATGGACTCTCTCTCTCTCTCTTTCTCTCTCCTCTCTTTCTCTCTCTGGATGATCTCTCTGTCTGTCTCTCTGTGTGTTTCTCTGTCTCTCTTTCTTTTTCTCTGCCTTTCAAACAGATAAGCTTTAAAAAAAAAACTTACCCTTGTTAACCATTTAGTTAATATGGGATAGAAGATAGAACTAGTCTCTTCTCTTTGATAAACAGTTTTAATACATTTGTTCTCTAGCATCCTCCAGAAGTGTCCAGTGAATTTATTAATAATACTTGCATATTTACTGATTAACATGTCTGAAGTATTTCGACTCATTAAAAGTATATCATTATGTATAAATTGTTCTATTTTTACCAGTGGGAGCCTCATCAAGTTGACATTATGTCCTTTTGATATGCCTTTAGATATCTTGAATAGCTTATTCATATCCTGGTATTTCAAGATGTCTCCGACTCTTCTTATACATATCCAGACCTGGAAACACAGTTATCCTAAGAGCTTCAGTTCCTTAGTCCAAAGAACATCATTTTGTTACTGTGGGTGCTCATTGCTACTGAGTTAATCTTTGTTTCTGACGATTGCAGTGGACAGAGCTAGAATGAATAAAATCTATGCTATGTATGTTGTTTAAAGATGAAATGATTACAAATTCAAATTGAAACTTTCAATTCAGATTCAGGGAGACCAGGTTTTTATTATATCTCATCTATCTTACATCTGTTTCTTCTCTCTACCGTGCTGACAGTCACAGGTCTCATAGACAGCAATGTAATTATTCATCTACTTTATCTGACAGCACACACAACAATCTTAGAATAACTGCATAACAAGCAATATGAATACTGCAAACATTTTATGATTATTTTTCATCAAGGAAGGTATCTTAACCACAAGAATTCATGTGGGTCTCTGCTCACGAAGTGTGTGGTGGTTATACTCTCTAAAATTTTTTTGATATTTTTCTCCTAAGTAAATAGGAATGAGTTAAGTGTCACAGGAATAAGGGAGTAGGAGGAAAGGGGTATCTTTGTATGTTACTTACGTAAAGCTACTTTGAAGGTTTGCCTGCACTTACTGGAAGTTTTTAACAAATGCTCATTTTTATCATAAAGTTTTTAATGGCAAGACCATTTCACCATTATTATGTATAATTTATAGGATTAAAAAAATTATGTTGCTAGTAGTTAAGAGATTCATGATGGAAAATGATCAGCTGGAATCCCTCAAAGAAAAGATTCCTTCTCAGTTTGCTTCCTTATATTGTCAAAGTCCTTTTTAAGAAAAAGTATCACTCTCCATTTGAAGTAGGCATCATTTTTATTTTCCCAGTGAGCAGTTTTTGTTTTAAAGGCTTTCTAATTGCTGAAACATAAAATACTAGAAAAAATGTGATTGTCCTAGAATGTGCCCAAATCTACTTTTGAGCATATTAGAATGCTTTTTCAAGCCAAATAAAGTTTAGTCTCCTTTCTTGTCAATTATAGCCAAGCTTATTTGATTGGTCAGTTAGAGAGGTTGACCTTGTAGGGAAGACTGAGATAATGCAA